GAGAGAGAGAGAGAGAGAGAGAGAGAGAGAGAGAGAGAGAGAGAGAGAGAGAGAGTGATGCCAGGGGGGATAAACGTAGCCAGATAAAACCAGTTTATCATGGCAAAAACGAGAGCGTTATGATTACCAGTGCTTTCACCGTAGAATTAGATAGCACGTACATAAATACGTGGGTTTAGTCTATATTCAAAGTGTTTCTACGGGCTAGATAGTCTTGCTTGTTTTTCATGAAGCTGTCAGATTAATTTTAAGTCTTCATATGTAAACAGGCGTAGAGAGCGAGAAGCGACACTGGCGCCATTTCTGATCAGAATTGAAAGAAATGCGCGTGCGGTATCATGCACTGAGCTGTACATGATAGGGTTAATAACATTGTTAATGAATATATACAACAACAATGTTATTATATATTATGGTGTGTGGAAACTAACCAGTATGTGGAACAGTTGCATGGTTTTATATACTATATACTATATAATTAAATATTCAGAAAATAACAACAGGAGCTATAGTAATATACGTGATTAAAGCTATAGGCTATAACTGTTAAATTAGGTAAAAAATTTGTTTTAGTTAAATATTCTAACTATCATGTACACCGATAATAGCATGACAGAAAAGAAGAAGAATAGGACTAAGAAGAAGAATAAGAAGAAAAAGGAGAAGAAGAAGCAGAAGAAGAACGAGAAGAATAAGAAGATGGCAACGCCGCAGAACCAATATGAGGCGCGGGTAGATGTATTCGAAATGCGATTTAGGTGATTATATATATACACATGATACGTAATAAATGGCATAAACGGTGTAACTATATAATTTTATGGTCCTACATGACAACCCCGCACCACTCACAGACAAACCTAATATATACACACGTACTTGCGCGCGCGCGCATTTGCACCACAAAGATTACGTGAGTATTGGCTTTTGATAACGCGTTTTGATTTTGGCTTTTGAAATTGCGCCGCCACAACAAACAATTAAAATAAGAGAGCTAGTGTTCATCTCCGTGGTAAGATTGGTGCGCGCTAACACGCACACACGCACGCACGCACGCACGCACGCACGCACGCACGCACGCACGCACGCACGCACGCACGCACACACAAACACATACACACACACGCGCGAGCGCACACACACGCACACGCGCACACGTGAAATAGAGTTCGGTGATCGTATAGTATAGTTTAGTTAGTCTTGCGTTGTGATGCTATTTCTTGACCGCAGATTCTTTGTCGTACTTAGCTAAACAGCTACTTTGAGAGGAAAAGTCACGCGCTGAATGAAACTATGAAGAGCTGACGTAGATGCTGACAACTGCGATTTACTTCACATATATATATATATCTTTCTCGGTAACTCGCCATGCTAGAGGCTTGTTCACACATATAAAGCTCACATATAATAATCACACGCCTCAGTAATTATTCACATATCCGATGCTATATTCACATATAAAATGTAGCACCTCATTATGTATTCACACAAAACAGCTGCGCAGATACACATTGAAAGAGCGCAGAACTCGGTAGTTTCTACACCACTAAAACTACACGTCGCTTAGTCTTGACGCGACACACAAACACACGTACACTTAGCACAAAAGAAAGGAGTTACTGCCTACTTCCGGTCGTGTTTTCCCTTAGATTCAGTGTACGCCCGTGACGTCATCCTAGGTGTCACCACTAGTCAACATGCCTATAATGGCTTTATTATTCATCACTAGGGGGCGCTACACTAACATATTACGTTTAAAGTGTCACCCAGTTACATCTTATTTTCTACACTAGGGGTCGTTACCTTCTATACCATTCTCAAACTCTGGGTTGGAAACGGCCTTTTTACCAGGCCTGTGAAAACTCGAATTCTGTGATTACGGTTCTTTTCGACGTCCGGTCGAGTGATAACAAGGAAAGGCAGCTACGTGGAAGTCTGCTATGGTATAGCATAGGAATAATATTTATATGTGTTTATAGACACACATTTCCAGACATTCTCCTTACAAACACATGTGTTAGTGTCACCCACACTATGCTAATTATATGTACATATCCGCTTGGGATGTACAGGCTAATTAGGCTTCAGCATGCACATAATACATGCATATATATATATACAAGTCGACGTGGCTTGCTACAATGGCAACCCACTCACGGACACAAGGCCAACTCATTCGTACATGTGTCTATGGGAATGCACAAAGAGTTACGACACACCCTGTCTATGCACGACTCGTAGTCTTATCGGTTGACATATAAACGTGTGACACCTAAATCCACGCCGCGTTGTCAACCCGCAATGCTCTAAACATACATGGTCTAAGGCAGCACGCTAGGGTTAGCGTGACAACAGCCAGTGCGAATTACCTTGACTGGCTAGCTGGCTAGCTAGCGCTGCCTGCTGCAATACAACAGAGAAATGCAAAACAATAGAGTACGTGCACGGGGAAGTAATTTAAATAATTAATTAACAGCGCATTGTTACACAACGCATATCCACACGCACACACAAACCGTTGCCATGCGCGGTGCCTAGCTGATAAAATGCATTGAAATTCATGTTGGTCTAGCATGTACATATCATCAGGAGTCTATCAATAGTCTATCAACTATTGATAGACTCCTGATATCATATCACCCGCCTCCACACACACGCATACACGCACCGCGATCTGCTATTTTAGGGTACAACTCGGGAAATAGCCGTGAAGAAATATAGCGAACGGACGTTTGTGAAACGCGCCCCGGATCCATCCAGAATCAAAACCGAATCGGCAACCGAATCTGAACCCACGCAGAGCGACCTGCGACCACGGAACCAATAGTTACTGGAAGACTCGAGCCACACCGTCGGAGAAAGAGGATTGAAATTCTGGAAGATGCGTGTGTTGCCGCAATAGGAGTATATCCGCTTTCAGAGCTGCAGGACCACAGCAATCCACACAGTATATGCACACAGTTCCGTGTATATTTATATAGGTATATAATAATTTATATTATAGGTATAGCAACGAGTGAGAGAATATTTTTTGATTTTTTAGAGTGAATTGTCATTATCGACTTTCGATATATATCCTCATGAATAAAGGTATACTCATATATAGAGTATACATATGTTCATGATATATATGATATATATATATATATATATATATACATACANTTATATGTACGTATATTATGCTATATATACATACATTCATACAGTACATACATTACGATTGCATGCAGTGAGATCATACCGATTACTAATGTCTCATACACCTCTTACATACATACATATCATCACACTACTCAGTATCCACCTACATATATCAGCACTACATATCATACATACATAGTCATATCCATACATTACTTATAGGCATACATACATATCTATTACATAACATACATACATACATACATACATACATACATACATTACAATTACATACATACATACATACATACATACACTAGCATACTACATACATTACAGTACATACATAGCTATTTTACATACATATCATACATACATACATACATACATACATATCATCACATTTATCATGCATGCATGCATGCATGACCATGTCGAATGCCATGCATGCGATAAGCATGAAAAGCATGCATTGTCATGCTATGAAGTGCATCTTCCCTCATTCACTATTATCAAAAATATAGTCATTACCCCTATACCTTCCATACCACCATACAGTATTCATTATTTGCTATTT